AATATTCCTATCTAGGTAAAAGCAGGTGCTGTCCTAGGAGGTTCAAACTAACAAAAATTGGAAAGATGGAAATGGCCCAGTTTTTGTCAGTGGACTTCGTGGTGGTGGTGGTGGTTATGTGCTGTGGAGTCGGTTCAGACTCCTAGCGACCCTGTACAGGGTTTCCAAGGCTGTAAATCTTTATGGGAGCAGAAAGCCTTACTTTTCTTCTGTGGAACGGCTGATAGTTTCGAACTGCTGACCTTGTGGTTTGCAGCCCAATTCGTAACCACTACGCTACCAGAACTTTGTGGAGCACATACTAAAGCTTGATACTAAAGCACATATTAAAGTTAATTTGATATGGATAAGGAAGTTTTTTGTTCATTTTGTTTTTTAAATTTCTTTTTGTTGTTGAGAATATTAACAGCAGAACATACACCAAGTCAACAATTTCTACCCGTACAATTCTAGGGCATTTAATGACATTCTTTGAGGTGAGCCATTTTCACCCTGTTCTGAGACGTTCCTTGGTCATAAAAATAAATTCACTGCCCTCTAAGGTTCCTATCTAATCTTTTGAGTTGCTTTTGTCAGTTTGATTCCATAGAAATAATTCTTAAAAGAGCACAATGTTCAAGGCAGACATTCTTTAATAGTAAACTAATGTTTAGTTTTAAGAAGACTTCAGGAGTTTTGAGGTTTACATATTATCTCAAGACTAGTTTCAGTGGATCATCTAGCCTCCCTGGTTTTAGAATGTTTAGATCCCATGAGAATTTGAAATTCTGTTCTGCTGTTCTTCCTCTTGATCAGAATTTGAAATAGAATCTTTGATCAAAAGATCCTAGGCACTATACAGCAAATAAGAAGGTGACCAGACGTACTAAAGTATGTTATTAACTGGTCTATTAACAGATGTTCCATGAAACCAGGACCCTAAACCATCAAATTGAGGAACCACATCCTTTTGTTTGATTGTCCATAAGCAGTCTCGGCAACTATTGCTTGTCAGCCGTGCGATCTTATCCTTACTGCTCGTTTCCCATCACTGTAAGCTGAAACTGGGTACTCCACACATAAACACCTCCACCTTCCCTCCCTCTCCGGGCAGCCACTAATAACTCTCGGGCTGCTGTACATGCAGAAGATGGTACCAACCATCCCACCACAGCACTCACTGCACTGGCCACACACAACTCAGAACACAATACTTACAGTTAGGGAGTTTATTAGGGGACTCACAAAATTAGAAATGTGCAAGGTGCAAAGTCAGGACAGCCTCTTCCCAGACAGAGGTCGCTCTCTGGTCCTTGGCCTCTCAGCCACAGGCCCCCTGATCTTAGCCTTGCCCTGGCAATGTTGCAAAGCTTTTCTAGCACTGTTGATAAATGGCCACAGGGCACTCCATTCCTCTGTAAGCCTCAGCCCAAAGCTGCTTAGATCTAACTCTGGGTCAGCAGAACTAGCTCCCTAATTAAGTGCCTGGAGGCACCCCACTTCACAAGTGAGCCTCCTGTCAAAGACATTGGGCTTGACTTGCTCCTGGCCTGGGAAGCTCACTGCTCTGTCTAGTGCTCGGGCTCTTGGTGCTGCTGCTGCTGCTCCTCCACTTTCACAGCTTTCTGTCCCTGGGTCAGCGAGGTCCAATGTGCAGGGATCTCTGGGTCCAAAAGATGCATTCCATTCCTGGGACCTTCCTCCTGCTTCTGAGATGGTGGTACTTGGTGGTTATGTGCTGTGGAGTCGGAACCGACATAGTGACCCTGTACAGGGTTTCTGAGGCTGTCAATCTTTACAGGAGCAGGAAGCCTCATCTTTCTCCTGCAGAACAGCTGGTAGTTTTGAACTGCTGGCCGTGAGATTCACAGCCTGATTCGTAACCACTACGCTTCTAAGATAGGTCATTTTATATCCAGCACTATGGCAAGATAGACTAATCATAGTAACAACTGAATCATCTTCCCCCAGTTTCCCTTGCTCAGACCTACCAGGAGAAAGGCCATTTGGTGGGAGTTTTCAAAGACTACAGCTAGAAGAGAAGGAGATCTGGTAGCGTACTAGTTACAAGTTGGGCTGCTAATCTCATGGTCAGCAGTTTGAAACTACCAGCAATTTCATGGGAGAAAGATTTTTGCTGCTCTAAATATTTACAACCTCGGAAACCCTATATAGGGTTGCTATGATTCAGAATCGACTTCATGGCATATAACCACTACCACCACCTTAGCTAGAAGAGACATTAAATAATTCACTGCACCAAAATACATTTTCTGGTGTTTCCTTTTTGTATAAGTGAGGTGATACAATATTTGTCCTTTAATGATTGACTTATTTTACTCAGTGTAATGTCTTCATGCCCTATAGCATTTATCAAGACCTCATTTCTCTTACTGGCTGAGTAGTATTTCATTGTATGTATGAGTATTCCAGAACACTTAACCGTGCTCATGAGGAACCTGTACACAGACCTAGAAGCAGTCGTTTGAACAGAGCAAGGGGACACTGAATGGTTTAAAATTAAGAAAGGAATGTGCCAGGGTTGTACTCTTTCACCATACATATTCAGTTTGTATGCTGAGCAATTAATCTGAGGAGCTGGATTATATGAAGAAGAATGAGGCATCAGGATTAGATAAGGGTCATTAACAACCTGAGATATTCAGATGAAACAACCTTGCATGCTGAGAGTGAAGATGACTTAAAATACTTATGAAAATCAAAGACCACATCCGTTGGTATGGGTTGTACCTCAATGTAAAGAAAACCAAAATTCTCACAACTGAACCAATAAATAGAATCATGATAAATGGAGAAGAAATCGAAGCTGTCAAAGACTTCACTTTGCTTGATCCATTGTCAACACGGAAGCAGCAGTCAAGAAATCAAATGAAGTATTGCATTAGGCAAATCTGCTGCACAAGACCTCTCTAAAGTGTTCAAGAACAAAGATACCAGTTTGAGGGCTAAAGTGTGTGTGCCTTACCCAAGCCATGGTATTTTCAATAACTGCATATGCATATTAAAGTTAGACAATGACTAAGGAAGAACATTGAAGAAGTAATGCATTTGAGTTGTGCTCATTGTTGGTAAGTGCCATTGAGTCGGTTCTGACTCAGTGACCCTGTATAGATTTTCTGAGGAGCAGCTGAGCAGTTTGAACCACTGACCTTGCAGTTCAAACTGACCTTGTGGTCCAACGCTTATCCCACAGTGCCATACTAGGTGTTGGAGATGAATTTTAAAGGTATCATGGACTTCCAAAAACCAAAATTGTATTGGAAGAAGTACAGCCAGTGTTCTCCTTAGAAGCCAGGGTGGCCAGGCTTCATCTCTCATACTTTGGACATAGGAGGGACAAGTCCCTGGAGAAGGACTTCATGCTTGGTAAAATGGAGGA